ACATTTGTTATGCTTAAAACAAAATCACCAAATTATAAAATGACAGAAATGAATTTTAGAAAATGTTCCATGATTTTTATAGTTATAAAGGAATTTTTCATATTCATTAAATTTAAATTGTTAAGGGAATTTACGTCAGATTCCCATATATATATCATTTATTTTATAAACAGAAATTTTTATGTAAAATGGATTTGAGAAGACTTTTAAATTCTTCATTTCAGTATGAAAATACGTTTATTTTAATTCGATTTTCCTAACGAAAAATTTGTTTTTTCTACTCCAAGTTTATTGTCAAAAGATGTGAGTAAAATTTTCATTTTCTTCTGGTGCAATACATACAGAACAATTCTTAGTTAATTAAATTTGAAGATTTTGATCCCTGTGTCTACTGGCATCCTAAAATACTGTTATTTTGTCTTATACATAGATATTTATATAAATATTTATATATATAAACATATAAATCGGACAAAAATAATTGTCGGACTTTGTCCATTTCATAATGTGACGTCATTTTTTTTTACATTTGATACGTATCGAGCAGATATGAATGTAGTGAGAAAATCATGGAAAATTGTAGTTTAAAACAGTAAAATCGACCTTGAAAAACCGAAACGCTCCTCTGTGGCGAAAATCAAGAAAAGCACGTCAGGCTATATGATGGTTACGTATAGGATACAGGTTCGATTCCTGACGGAGGACGCATATTTTCTATGACAATTTCTCGGACATTCAAGCCGGTAAATATTGTTGATACTGTTTATTATAAAACAGAGCATTTACTTAAATATTTGTATCTAAAGAATGTATAAACATAATAAATGTCTTAAAAGTTAAAACAATATAATAAAGTTGACTCAGTAAAACAGACACGTACGAAAACAAGACTTAAATCTTGACTTGTCTTACGATTAAATAAACCGTTCCCTGTAAGATACCCAATCAATTCACCAAGTATATCAATATCGATTCTTTCTTTCGATCATACACTGACATTCCTAAGTCTTTTAAATATTATTCAAATATCTAATGTCACAATGCAGGTATGGCAACACAATGCAGGTATGGCAACACAATGCAGGTATGGCAACACAAAATAAAAATTGAATAGGGGGATAAATCAGATGTTAAGTTTTAAATATTCTGGATTCTATTTTGTTTTTGTTTTTTTTGTTTTTTTAACTGATCCTATTATAAAATGAATATTTTGGGAGCTATTACAGTAAATATTTATCTATTTTTAATTTTACATGCACATTTCTTTTTACTTGTACTTACTCTCAGGAATTAAATCTACAGATTTTTTTCCCACAGATAAAACTTTAAAATATTTAGGCTAATACTAAAAACTGGAATTTATTTTGAAAATTAATGGCAGTAATGGTTTTAAACAAATGATATTGTAGAATTTTCATAGATTGAGGCCAAGAGGACAAATTTAGTCTTCTGTTTAGATCTCAGTTTATTCTCTCAGCGCTGTGAACGCAACGTCTATTTACGAATTAATTAGAGACAAATTCATATCATTCCATTGTAACACTATTAATGTCGATTAATTTTGACAAAAAGTGTGTGCGCGCGCGCGTTGGTACGCACGTTTGCGTATCTCTCGTAAAAAAAAAAATCTTGGTTCTGTGATATTCGAACACAAGTGAATACGAAGATAATGTGTTCAAACCTTCTTGAATAGTAAATACTGCAAACTTCCAGCAATAACCTAGCAAAAGTCAGGAAGCATCAAGGTGGTTTCCTTCTCAACAGACTGAATGATAGAGAGTCTTGTGACTCTTGTCTCACACATTCCTAAATAATATCCACGGGGCTATAGGGAGAGCTAGGTGGGCAGCTTCAGTAATCATTCACTTTTTGTTTAAACTGAAAAGAAAAACAGATTGTTAAATCTGTTTTCTTGGTCTCTATCTGCGACAATGACATTCAGCGGAGCTGTATCGTTTGTCGAAAATCATAACTGCTGATAAGGTGCTTGGAAAGAAGAAACATTTTGTTTTTTTTCTCACTCTTCAAGGCTAACTTTAGGAATTGGTATATCGTTGGTATACTAACAAAATGGAATGAAGGACTAGAATAACTAGAAATTAGTTCTAGAAATGAGTCATGTTTGAAAACATTTTCTGTACAACACTTGAATATACATATATGTCATAGCGATATATATATATATATATATATATATATATATATATATATATATATATATATATATGAAGAAATATAGTCTTAAGGTGTGCTATATTTATGGGATAAAGTGCTCAATATCAGAGACATGAGGTGTGTAAATATAAAAGTGAACATTGAAGTCAACACTTAGAGGCGATCGTGGCCTGACGATTACATCTAACATGAAACAAACTGTCGCCTCTGTTTGACTTCAATGTTCACTTATATATATATATATATATATATATATATATATATTCTTTTATAGATACTTTTAATATATATTTATTATTATTTATTTTATTATATATTTATATATTCATTATATTATTTATTTTATTATATTTATTATTATTTATTATATATACTTTTTTATTTACATTCAACACCATCACTTGATAGAACACCAGATGTGTTGAAACAAAATGGCTATTTTTGTAGTGATGCTATATAATGTTTATGTAATAATTTTTGAATAAATAATATTTGCTCAACTCTGTATTGAACACTCTTTAAGAATAGTATTTTGGTAATTGAATTTATTCCGTTTACATGAACTTTATATATTATATATATATATATATATATATATATATATATATATATATATATATATAAAACTTTTATTTTTAATAATTCTAAAATAGAAATCCAAATCATATCTGTGTTGCTAATTTCAAAACAGTATATATATATATATATATATATATATATTATGTTAGAGAGAGAGAGAGAGTGTGTGTGTGTGTGTGTTCGTCATAATTTGTCCCACACAGAGAAATTATAACACATATTACAAAAGAAAGGTTGTATCTGAAAAGGAGCAATAAATAGAAGGTCTTTCTTACAATGTTCTGCGGGGGGGGGGACACAACACAGTCCTGGTGATATCATTTATGTTATTTTAAGATGCATGGCATTCGCCCGTTTGCTAAATACCACATGTATTTCCTTCGAGAATGAAGCAGAGACTGAACTGTTCTCAGCTACTGGCTGTCCCGTGGTTCACAAGGACCCTTAGGTCATTCGTAAATTCTGCATCATTACGCTGTCATTAATTTTTAAAATAAATCAGAAAACTTCATTTTGTTTGATCTTTTTTTACACGTTAGATTCCAAAACTTGTATAAAAGTTTTACATGCAGAAACCAGAAAATAAGTACAAACGATGAGCAAAAATATGTACATTTAAATCAAAACATAGAAATGTTTTTACCGTAATATAATAATAATAATATATTCATTTTCTGAGAAATCATATATATATATATATATATATATATATATATATATATATAATCAGAAATCTTTAAAATTTAACATCGGAATTAGCCTCGACTTTTAACATCTGATTTACACACTTCCACCTTTTAGTTTTTGTAATGGTTCATGCTATGTCAATTTTTTAAACAGATTCTTAGAGTCACACACCTAACATTTTATTTTATCACCGTGAGGTCTACCTAGTATATTTTCAATTTAATGCTATGTACTGAAAAAACTGTAAACATGTCTGTAGTTTTTCGCCACAAAACGATTATATATATATATATATATATATATATATATATATATATATATATATATATATATATATACATACATAAACAAATTATTATTGCCACGAGGATAAATGATATTTTAAAAAGGATCATATTTTATTCATAAAAAAGGGATACAAAAGTATCACGACGAGTAAAATTTTAGGGTACCTTTCGGGACGACACATTTTCAGAAAAAATAATATCGTCGGCAAATGAAACTAAGTGGTTGAAAAGATCATACATATATATATTTTAAAGATCATATATATATATATATATATATATATATATATATATATATATATATGCGTTTGTATGGGGTATAATAATATCTCAAATAAAAATGAAGATAAAGAGACAAAGTGGAAAAAGCTTTTTTTATACGACGCGCTTCGCTGACGTGACGTGTGTTTGGCTTGGCTTCTTCAGGCTACCAGGGCGAAACGCCAGGTACAAAAGCTTTTCAACTTTGCCTTATATATATTTATATGTGTGTGTGTGTGTGCGCGCGCGCGCGCGTGTGCGTGTGTGTGTCTGTTTATTTCAATAAAAGAGATCAGCCGAAATTCAATATAGTCGGTTACTTACGATTGCAGGAAAGATGTCTAACAAACAATTAGTTTTTTTTGTTGTTGTTGTTGTTAACCATATAAACATTAGGTAATTTTTGCCGAACCTGGTCATACATAGGAAATTCTCAAGTTTGAGCCTTATTTCATGATTAAAATACAACCCTAATTTAACCCTGTTCTTAATGCTTAATAATGTGTTAAAAATATAGACATCAAGAGATGCTCATATTTTTTAACACATCTTTATTAAGCATTAATAACTGGGTTGCATTAGGGTTATATTTTAATCATGAAATAAGGCTCAAACTTGAGAATTTCCTATGCATGACCATGCTCAGGAAAAATTACCTGATGTTTATAAACAAGTAATTTTAGCCGAGCCTAGTATGCATAGGAAATTCTAAAATTTGAGCCTTATTTCATGCTTAAATATAACTCTAATGAGACAAATTCCAGTTATTAATGCTTAATAAAGACGCATTGCCTGACTTCAACTGGTTGTGACAGAACACCATGATCAAAAGTTTGTGAAACCAAAGTCTGTATGGTTGTAAATAGTATTCCACAAAATCTTACCATTACTAATCTATGATAAGTTCTGTTTTTTTTATGACTTGAAGGCCTATTTTAACGATTTGTTTTCTTTGGCAAAGTTTTAGCCCGGGGCTCTTTTGCGTTCGATGATGGAGAACCGCCTACCCCTATGGAAGATACTCCTGATCTCACTTACCCCGACGGAGGGAGTAGTTCAAGTCAACAGCTCACAACTCTACAGGAACTGAACATCGGTAACTTAAGAAAACAACTGCTTTCTCAATGTGATTTCAGTGTGGCCGATATCGAAAGTTGGAAATCCATGGGCTTGTCAGTGAAAGATCTAAAACATTTAGAACTGGACGACCTTCTTAAGAGTCCAGTGCTAACACCGTCATATCAGGTAACCAAGTTCCAATGGCTGCAGACCCAATTAGAAGCTTCGGCGTTAGACAAAACACACAGTCTCTCTGCACATAATTCTCTGGTAGACACTGTCACCATTACGAATCAGAACTTTCTAAAAGTAAGCGAAGAGAGCGAGAAGTCGTTTGTCACTGAAAATTCGGAACTGTCAGCGGTAAAGCTCGAAGAAATGTTAGGCACTATCAAATTGTCTGATGTCAACAATATACAGCAATGCCTGACGCAGTTCAACTTGACCGAACGGCCGGAATCAGAAACATCTGTTCCGGCTATCTCTCCAGTTTCCAGCCATCTCAGTTTTGCTGACACATCCCCAGAAAAATGCGCAATAGCAAATTCACACCCAGCTTCAATTTTAAATCATCTCAGCACAGACTTGTCAGAAGAATTGTCCGATAATGGCTGTGCGTCGTTGTTTACCGATGATGTATTGAAACAAGATCCCCTAATGATGGACAAGGCCTTTTCAACTGATAACATTCCCAGAACCGGTCAATCAGAAAGTTCAAGGCGAAAAAGTAATCAGGAAAATATGAAACCTAAGTTGAGCGACGGAGGCAAAAGAGATTATAAACATCCACTCAATCGTTATGAAGAATCGAAAAATGTTAGCAGCGTTCCTCGTGCCCACGAGAAAGCCAACGATATAAAAACGCCAAGATCAGAACAAACGTTAGAATATAACGCAGGAGAGAAAAAAGTATGCGATCACGTTGTTTTAAATCTACCTCCGACGAAGGCAACAGACAGAACGGATTGTACGCGAAAAGAAATAGTGCATTCAAACAAAAACGAAGAATCCGTTGTAAAGAGCGTCATCATTAGCTTTTCGCAAGAGAAGGTGAAGGTTATCACTGGCCTTGTGAAGGAAGACGTCCGCCAGCCAATGAAAGACCTTGTGCAAGTTACGACGGGTTTAGGAACGAAAGAAATAAATACACTGGAGCAAGAGAAAGGATGGAGGGAATATCCTCCGATAAATCTAAGTATCGATCCCCTTGTATCAAGGGAATTAGATGCCCTTGCCTCGTTCCGAGATGATATTGATGACGCAAGAACTCCAGCAAACTTCACACAAAATAATGGCGAAGAAATTATAAGAAATGAAGAAAGCTGTGCAGCTGGAATTAAAACGATTTTACCACCGGAAAAAGCGGTATTACATTCTGAGCAGGAAAAGAATGCGGAAGGCAAGAATGAAACGAAGACTGGTGATGATTGTTATTCAAGTGGAAAACTAAACATAGGTGGTCATCATCAAAATAACATTGACGATTTGAGCGGAGTAGCTCAAGACCGTTTCATGCAAAATGAAACATCCCAGAAAATAGAAGTAGAAAATGATAATAACTTAACAGAAATCAGTCCGCAGCATAAAATATGTGATAATACGACAATAACTGATGTCGTGGAGGAGGCAAAATATAAGAATAGCAGCTTCATTTATACAAATGGAATAAATGAAAGTGCAGACACAGATATGAATGAAACAGATGTCGTTACAAATTATAGTGAAGAGAGCAGAGATCTTTACGAAGAAAAACTGAAAGAAGATTCCATAAACGAGACAACAAAAATGGAAGTAACTGGGGTTATTGATAAAAAAGACACTAGTACTTTTGAACAGAATGATAGCGAAACTCATTTTTTTTCTGAGAATGTACAAAGTTATGTTAATTGCCAAAATGAAAATATGTCTTCGGTAAATCATTTCAGTGACGAGAAGAATGTGCAACTGAATGCAGAAATTAAGCAGGTCGTCAATGATTCGGAAAATAGCGATTCATTTTATTATCCAGATAAGATTAGCAATGACCACAATGAATGCGTGGATGACCTCAGGCAAGATACAATAAAAATGGTATCTTTAATTAATGAAAACGGCGAATACAGATATGCAAATGGAGTTGCTGATATAAACGCAAGGGAGATAACTGAGACGAAATACGAAAAACGAAATCACGAAAAGGATTCCGACACTGAACCAACCGAAGTTTTCGAAGAAAACGCTAAACAACTGTCTGAACCTGTTGAAGATATTGATGGTCGAATCTTCGTGGTCAAAATGGCAGTCGCTACATGCAAAACTGAAGGCGCTGCTACTAAATGTCAACTTCAAACTTTAGAAACAAACAAGGAATTAAAGCTTACAGAATCTCCTAAACCATTTCATTTGACCGCTTCGACAAGTTCTATATTAACGGTTAATAACCACAACATACAACCAAGTGGCAGTCTTTGTATTACGTACGAAATTCAAAAAGATTTTCCTGAGACAGAACAGTCGATCATTTCCCAGGAGAAAGTAGATGTCATCACCTCTAAGTTCTCGCCTGCAGATAACTCTGGTTCTGACACTAAAAACACGTTTATAGAATCACCTTCACCGATAGACGAGACTAGAATTCTAGAATATCATGAGGCACCTCAGTCCATTGATTTTCTAAAGTCAACGACGGTAAGTTCGAACGACACTGCTGATTGTAGTCCTGCGCCAATTAATTCTTCACTTCCCGATTTAAACCAAACCAATGTTGGAAACCAGCAAGCGAAAGTCAGTGATGTTGCTGACGAAACAGTCGTTAAAACGGATCCCATTTCGGACCTCGAATCAATTTCTGCAGTGCAGAGCAATACGCAAAATGTTGAAACTGAAAAACAAACTCAAGAGGCCATTTGTTTAAAAACAAGCCCGGATATAATCAATTTATTAATTACTTGCCCCCAATTGATAACTGATGAGCCTGAAACAGTCGAACCAATCAGTACTTTAATAAAAAACGATCTCGACGCTAATGTATGCAAAACGAAAGAAAACCTCTTTGAAACACAGCACGAGGATGCGATTTCTGGTTTGAAGAAAGATGACCCGTCATGCCTAGCGCTAAAAGAAACAGATGAAGAAAAATACCGACCGATAAATCGGAGCGATTGTAACTCCGAACAGGAAAGCATGACTGGGATTACACCTGACGTTGCTTCCGCCGAAAAGGAAATAAACGCAGAAGTTCAGGTCGGAATGTCTGTGTCTCCTGTTCGCATTCCTGAAATATCAGCGTGTGCAGAAGTCAGGGTCAGCCAGAAGAATGAAACACAAAATGTTGAACCAGTCACCAAGTCTGTCACAAGCAAAGTCGAAATCACGACTAGTCACATGATTCGCCAACCCCAAGAGGATTTACTGAATGGTAAGCCAAATGAAAAGAGTGCCAGACGTTTTGAACAGGAAGATGCTTGCCAAAGATTATGGGAAAGCAGTGACAACAGCGTGAAGATTTGTCATTTCTCTCAAAGCCAGAAGCCACCGTCACCGTCGACGGTTATCAAAGAGATCCTCAGAACTGAGTCGTCCCAAATCTTCCGAACAGAAAATGAACGAAAGATATTTGCTAAAAGTGTCGAATTCAGCAAAAGTTTGCAAAAGGAGTCAACGAGATTCAAAGTGACCAAGAATATTTATCAAGTCCAACAACGTAAGTCGAGCTATGGACAAATGAAAATGATAGAGAAGGGACTCAAAAACATCCCTGCAAGAAAATACCGCGCCAGAGAGACTAGTTTTGAGAAGGATGCAAAAATAGCGCATAAAATTCAACAAATGACTTCTGTTCCTGATGTCAGCAAAACCACTTCACAAAGAAAACAAACTGATGTACAGAACAGTAAAAAAATCGCTAAGTCCATAATAAAGAACGTTAATATTTTGGAGCCGATGAAATCGCAAAAAAGTAAGGAAGTTTCCGAGAGAAACTCAAATCCAAAGAATAGTTTTAAAAAATCTATTTCATTAAACTTGAAGAATGAGAAAACAATCACCGTTCCAACCGAAGTTTTTGGCAGCCAAAGTTCTGGGGATACTATTTACCAAGAAAGAATTCTCTCAGGAAACTACTATGAGTCAGAAAAATCCGATGGCAAAGGTGATACTTGTGATAAATTTTCTGCCGAGGACAATATACATTACAGCTCAAAAGATGATGGCATGATCAGTCATAGAAACAGTAAAACTGCTAAACAGAGCTCCGTTCAATGTATCTCGATGACCGAATGTGAAAATAAAGGAAAACTTTGTGATTTATCTGTTCATAATAAGAACGTTAAAAAAACAAAATATTTGCAAGCAAGGTTGTTAGAATCATGCCAGGGAACTCTGTCACCTGTATGGATATCGTCTCGGGAAATGTCACCTCAGACTACCCCAATAGCTAATAGGGTCACACGGTCTCTCACATTTGATTCGAATTCTCCAAATTCGCTTCCCAAAGTAGAGAAAACAATTCAACATAGTCACTCTTGCTCCTTACAGAAATTATGCTCAAAAGAATTCCGCATTCCTTCCAGCTCAGGATTCCACCCACAATGCAATTCTCCCGAATTCGACATGGAACTTGTCTCCTCTGAGCAAAGAGAGAATTGTTCTCACGTGACCACTAAAAAAATCACCGAGGAAGAAAACTTGCTCTCGTGCATGCGCGACCCCTCTGATTCCTCCTCGTCGACACTGGCCGAACGTAACCAAGACGGAAGGTACACACCTTTCTCTCTGGGGAATCAGGTGACCACTTCGTCGAGCGACTTAACTGTGTTTCCGATTTCATGTACGGAGATACGTAACGAAAAGGGCAAAATGTACACATACCCAAATCTAAACGACTACAAAACGAATAGAAGCTTTCCAGACCAGGGGCACTTTTTGCGGACGCTCTGCAACCGCTTCAGGGATAATGTATCTCCTGATGATTCGGCTCAGGGCCCCAAAAGCAAAAAGGCTACTTACTTGACTGAATCAATATTTGATAATTTGAGCCGAAAGAAACGTCATGATCTTTATGAACAGTCGGCTCCATTGCCGCCGCCTCCTTCTCCTCCTTCTCCTCCAAAGGGTTTATTCCAGCGTCCCTGCAACAACCTAGAATCAGACCTGCCACCGATACCAAAGACATTTGGAAAAGGTGACAACTGGTGATAAATTCATAGCATGATCTTTTTAAAGTTTTCGCAGTAGAAAGCATGTATGTCTTTTTTTTATGTTTAGTGAAGCAATTCCCTATAGAAAGCATGTGTCAAGTTTAGAAACGCATATTCTGCATTCAGTATCTTCATATGTACTTGCGTATTTATGTAGCAACTTAGCAGAAAGACATACTTAAATGAAAAAACAACTTCATGTCTTTTTTTATGATTTCTCCAAACCAGTTGTAAGCGGGTTGATTGTTTTAATAGGTATCCAAAGTTCCTGCATCTACATTTTTAGAGATTTTAAACAACATGATTGGTTAAAAAAAACATATGGTCAAACTTCTTATTGCCATTTTGTATTTGTTTTTACATAGTGTCACTTTAGAACGTAGGTGATCAGTTCTCTCCACAGATTCCTTTTGTTTATTATCTATGAATTGTCATGCATTATTGGAGAGACATTGGAACAGATTGCCTTCTCTGCGGTTTTGAATTCAAGAGTTATCTTTCCCTTAGAACGGTTTCAACCTAAAGCTGGAGTGTTCAGTCTTTTTACACAAGCGACTCAAAACTTTTTTCCAAATCAATTCCAACGACGTATTTTGCTTCTGTCATGGTGATTGCTAAGTGGAGTTCATTACCACAGGATACCATTATGGTGAGATCATATGTCGAAATTCAAAATGAAATTGAGATTTCCTACTCAACAGAGAGAGCTGAAGCGACTTAGTATATTTTAATGCTTTATATTTTTTTGTTTACATTCATTTCTTTTTTGTGTTTAATAAAGTGTAACGAATTGTTAAAACATCGTTAAAGTTTACAGCAGGATGGAAGCTTGAGCTATTTTTGAAAGCTCATCGCTACTTATTTTTAATTTTGCTGCTTGATGACATTTTGGCCTACACTTTAAATAAATTGTGGTAATTGGAACTTCTAATGAGAAGAAAATTCATTTAAAATTTAATAGAGCTGGGCTTTCAAATATAGCCCAGTTCGCTACTTAGTACCCAATCGGCAAAGTCTGCTTTGTAAAATATTGTTACAGTAAAATTCGTATTTGACACAATCATGCGAGAAGCATTGCGTGAGTAAGCTGTTGTGTTTGTAGCTGCAATGTTTTAATTGAAGTCGTAATTTTGTATATTTAATTACTGACAATTAGCTTTACTGCACACATACACACACGCAGAGAGGGCTAAATGCCTTTTCTATTTTGCCTTAAAGAACATAAATGTTTAACCAAACACCCACGAGTACATAGTCAGTCATGTTAATGTGCAGTGACGACTAAATCACTAGACATATAAACTTCATACTTTATGCATTCCTTTAACAGATACATTTATGAACACTGAAGGAACTATTCGAAGTTTGGAGATATATTTAAAAGACATGGAGTTGTACTTTGAATTATGCATGTGTATGTAAGTGTGTTCGTTTGAGTACCTATGTGTGCATATATATATATATATATATATATATATATATATATATAAGTTTAACGTTAGTTTTTTTTAGATCTGATTAAAAATGCGGCAAGCGTATCGAATCACAGACGAATTATATCGCGTGCTCGATCACCGTGAAACTTTTACCTAACTCGGATTGAGGGATCGAAGAGGCGAGTTCGAATTCCAGTCGAATCCATTACATTCACTTACGTGCCAATACCCTTGGGAAAGATATGAATCCTCTTTTTCTCTCCTCAGCTATGGGTAAGTAGCAGGACAGACCGGGTTCTATAGTCTTGAATGGCAACTGGTCTACTGCAGAAAGAAATGGCAACCAACTGTGGAAAAAATGCCTTGGTCTGTAAATGTATCAAAAGAACATGATCACTTAATCGTGTATCACGTATGGCACATAACTGACTGATGCTTTTTTTTTTTTTTAATAAGATCTTAAAAAAACATAAACATTACACTATATATGTTGCTCTGAGCTCAGGATATGATCATGGTATCCAAAAATGAATGATAACTTGAAATTAATTGGTATATAAATACATATATATATAAAAGAAAGTCATGAGTGACTATTTATGGGAGACACGCCAGATAAAGAATTCAAGTACCATATTTTTGCCCAGAGCCTTAATATAAAAACATATGATGAATAACCGTATAAAATTGTTAGTCGTGATCAGTCACTGCTCACTGGAAATTTAATTTATATATATATATATATATATATATATATATGAATAATAAAATGTCAAGAGAGAAAAACTATATACACTAACCAAGGATAATTTTTGAAAAATTGTCTTTCTTTCAATTTG